TATTTTTTTAAATAGCTACTTTTACTTTTATTTAGTTACATTTTAAAGCTAAAATTATACTTTTAATTCTTTACTTTAAAATGTAACACCTAGTTACTTGTTACAAAATKAARTMTGTTTGAACTCATCATGAAAGATGTTTATGCACTCTAAAAACTGAAGTGTTGAATTTACTCAACAAAATCATGTCATCTGGCTCCACTAAGCCTAGCTGAGTAAACTGAGCAAATAATATACATATATTGCTCGATTTACTAAACCTGGCTTAGTGGAACCTTTACTTTTATCTTCCCAAATTTTTTGAACAGTTTTATGACTTTTACTTGATTAGATTTCTCATCAGTGAGATTTACTTTTACCAAAGTCATTTTCTGTTCATGTAATTTTACTTTTACTTCGTTATTTTTCAAGTACTTTATAGACCTCTGGCTGAAACGCAGTAACTCAAAACTGATGAGCTGATGATGTGAACAAACCAGTATAAACCAGTACAAGGAGCCCTGATTGTTCACATATCGTTATAGATAGAAATAATCACAAAGACAAACATTATAAATATATAGACTGTAATAAAATTTAATGTTTGTTTACTGAAATCGGATCTTACCCAGACATAAACCACATGAATGTTGAATAAATTAAAATGTGAATAGGATGGATCATACAAATGCCAGTACTGGATTTTGAACGATGGTTTTATTGCTCACAGCATAAGCATAAAACCAGTGCTGCCGGAAACCTGGAAGTGCACCTCATTTTAACAGTCCAGCTTGTTGAGGTGAACACCCAGGCACTTGTAAGAGTCCACTGTCTCAATGTCTTTTCCACGGATGTTCACCGGCGCTGTGGGGGGTGACTTCCTCCTGAGGTCTATGACCATCTCCTTTGTCTTGCTGGCATTGATTTGGAGAGCGTTGGTCTCACACCAGCCAAAAAAAATCACTGATGACCCCCCCGTGTTCCTCATCATTCCCATCTGATACGCATCCAGTGATGGCCGTGTCATCTGAGAACTTCTGAAGGTGGCAGTGGTCCAACCTGAAGTCTGACATGTACAGACTGAACAGAAAGGGTGAGAGGACCGTGCCCTGTGGTGCCCCTGTGCTGCAGACTACCACATCAGACACACAGTCGTGGAGCCTGTTGGTGAGGTAGTCGATGGTCCATGCTGTCAGCTTCCTGTCCACTCCGGCTCCATCCAGTTTGCCATTTTGACTTTCAGGTTTGGGTAAAGCAGTTGAGAAGCCACATGTCTTTATGTAAACTGTTTTACATTCACAATGTTGAACACAAATGTTGTATTCTTACATGATGCATGGGTTAGGAACATCTTTGTAGTTCAGCTATATTTGCATTTTCAGAAGGTGTATGTCAACATATCAGAATATTCTGCACAAGTAACAAAACCGTTAATTCAAATTTCTTTTAAAATTCTGTTGGTTTGGCTGATAGTTATCAACAACAACTAAAATAATTTCTTCTAAAATATTGAAATTCTTTTCACTTTAYACAGTATTTTAATTTACTGATGTACACCTAAAATAATTTACAAGCATTTAGAAAATTAATTAATAAATATGCAGGTACCTTGAAAGGTCAGGTTAAAAAGACTGAATTTTGTTATTTGTTTATGGCTTTTCTAGCCTTAACTTGTGTTTGAACCTGCAGTTTGTTGTTGTGTTAATCATACAGTTTGGTGCAATCGGTTCCCCCAATTGGATTGAGTAATTCCACTGGAGTGTTATGTTTTTTTTTTAAATAAGAACCATTCAAGTTCATTTAACTTAATTTGAGTATGACCAAGCAACTCTTTAAATAAGTGTGAGAACTAACAGCTTTTTAGTCCAACATAAGTTAAGTTGCAACATATTAAATGAAATGAGTTACTAAACTTATGCATTTGAATTGCCTCAACAAAATTGCTTTGCGTTCTTTAAACTCTAATCACATAATTAAATAAACTCAAATACTTTGAGTTATAAAACTGAAATAGATTTGTGCAATCGGTTTCCCCAAATCATTAGAGTTAACTTAACTTGTCTGGTTTTACAGTGATACAATATACAAATATATACACTATGTCAGCTGGTCTTCAGATTCTTCAGAAGCTTAGTAATCACTCATTTATACAAATCAGCTGAGTCAAAGCAGGGAAACGTAAAACATGCAGGATAGTGGGCCTGAGGACCAGGTTGAGAATCACTAACAGTCTGCTCCATATTGGTTCTCAGAATGTTAGACATTGCCATTTTGTTTTAAGTGGTTTCCATTTGAAGCCAAGAACATTTGTCTCTGTTTGTTTGTTTGTTTGTTTTTGGCATCCCAGTTCAACTTAAGACTGTTAATTCATTCAGGAGAGTGGCTCAGTGGATCAAACAAGTGTGACACTGATGGTTTCAGATGCTTCTCCCACACAAAAGGCTCTCTGTGATACCCTCACCTACCTAGTAAGGTTGTAGTCTAAGACCAAGTCAGGACCAAGACCAGACTGACTGAGACTTTTATAGCTGGACCAAGTCAAGAACTAGAAAAAATGGGAACCCTGAAACATTCAGTATACTGTACACAGGTGGTTAGCAACATAACTTAATATCTGTGGCTAATACTGACTAAATCTTTGAGTGAGGGCCAGGTAAAGAATTTTGTATAAAGGCAGATTGCTAATGTTAGCTAACTTTGCTAACATCACTTAGCTTACCACTGTTCTTATACTTTCTAACTGATGATAAAAGTTTGATGTAGTCCCACTGTCTGTGAAAGTAAAGCACTGCAGAATTTACACGTTGCTCTGTTTTCTCCTGGAGGTTTTACAAACATATTCTTTATATCGCTATTTGTATCATTCTGTGACCTATATTTTATCAATGTGATCAATATTTTCCTCAAGAACCTGTTGTATATCATGTGAGACCTGTATTCTGCCCTCTAATGGATTATCAATGTACTGCAGGAAGTGGAACTTTTTTTTTCAAAGTGTTTGCTGACATGAAGTCATCCACACATTTTTTTTCAGGAAAACTTTTGCTAATTTTGGGGGAGTTGTGGTAAGAATAACATCAATATTGTTTGTAATTTTTTAAATAAATACTTTCTGTGTCGAAACAATGCATAATTATTTTAAAAATATTTTTAATAGTACTCCGTGTTAAAAATTTGTGTATCAAACTTGTTACTGCAGGTAAATAGGTTGCTCCTGTCCTGAATTGTCATGCGACATTTTAGTAATTTTAGCAATTTAATCAACAGTATTCTTGCCACAATACAACACACACTATTTTGGATGATTGATTAATTACTGAAATGCCATTTGAAAACACATTTTGGCTTTAAAAACTTCATTGTAAAAAAAAAATCAAAGACGTTAACTTTCTAGAGTGTTCTGAACTTGTTAAAAGTTATGGGAAAAACTGTCTTTTGTTTCTTAATTCAATCTTTGTTGTAGGCAAAATGTTACCAAAACAGCCCAGTGTATCAGATTTGATACAAAAAATATATCATAAACAAAGTGATGTGGCAAAAAAAAATTTTGGATTTTGTTTAAAGGCCCAAAAAAATGTCAGTTCTAAAAAAATGGGAATTTTCTGATTATTTTTAAAGGGTTAGGCTTTAAAGGGTTAAGATTTATAGCTGAATTATTTTACTGAATAGTTTGCAGACATCTTCAACCACCACTCACGTTCTGTGACAGCTGTAACAAAAATACATAAATAGCAATGAGCCATGCTTGGATTTGGATTAGTTTGTTTTTCATTCAAGGACAGCAAGGATGTTAACAAATGAACTGGGCAATATTCTGGCATTTAAGTGATATTTCCACAGTTGTGATCTGGACTGGTCTTGAAATAAAATCCTGAGTCCTCAGTGTCAGAGATCAAGTCAAGACCATCAACTCGAGTGCAACAACACTGACAGAAGTAACTGGATTTAAATGACCAATTGGAATAAAAATCCATCATGTAAACACCCCAATCAGAATATTCTGATCTGATTCAGCTTAATCTGAATTAATTTATAATCCAAATTAGAGGGTTGGTTTGTGCTGCGTGCATGTAAACACTTATTCTGATCATGTTATTCTGTAGAAAACTGACCTGACAGCGTGACTTCTGACTTTCATCCATCTGTTTTGTTGTGGAGGGGAAGGGCAGTAGCTAGCAGAGCAGAACTTTAATAGATCTTGTTAATTTCCTCCCGCTCTCTCGTCCTAGAAAGAAGACAAACAGCACGTGTTGCTTTGCCTGGAGCTCAGTCAGGGAGTGCAGTCACGTCTCAATCGTTATTAAAAACTGGTCCATTCTGGGAGCTCAGAAGACATCTGTGCTCATCATGGAAGTAGAACTTCTTCTGGATTTTTAATGAAATTGTACTGAGCATGTCAGTATTCTATTCTGAATAAAAGCCTGGTAAATGCTCATCATCATCGAATTTAATCTGAATACATTTCAATCTGCATGTAAACATAGCTAGTGTAGCTACTATCAGCCAACACAATGGGGTGGTGCACTGTAAAAAATGAAATGTTGGATTTACTTAACCATATTATGTTACCTGGTTCCACTAAACTGAGTTGAGTAAATTCAAAGCAATATGCCAGTTTTTTAACCGAAGAACATGAGTATGTTGCTTTGAATTTACTCAACTCAGTTAAGCGGAACCAGGTAACATAACATGGTTAAGTAAATCCAACATTTCATTTTTAGAGTGTGCTTGAATGTAAAGGTGAGAGTAAGTAGTGACAGTGAATTGATGTGTATTGATTTTATGACCAGTGGTACTTGGACCTCAGTTTGAGAACTAAGGCTTTAGATGATCCATCTGTCTTAAAGAGGTGAAATAATCTGACATCATATCCTGCTTCTAAATTCAGATTAGTACAGTTTATCACTCTGGGAGGTATAAGGAAACTTCATGTTGATATAAAACCTGTGTTAAAGGAAACAAAGTTACAGAAGATCCTTTTTAAACTGGTCTGTAGAAATCTTTGTAAACACATAGACACATCTTTTTCAGATTTTTATTATATCTTTTAAACTAACGTAACTTATAGAAGTTAAAAAGTAACAAAATTTGATTCCTACATTTTCTCCTGATTCCATGAATGTTTTTGTTTAAAATGTGAATATTTGAGTGAGTTATGTTAAATCTTGATAAAACGGCACATTTGTTCATCTAATAAAACCCACACTGAGCTGAGCATCAGTTCAGATCAAACAGTCTTTATAAAACTCAGAAGCGTAGATCTGAAGTCAGGTCTCTGTGGTTTTAGTGAAGGAGGAGAATCTCTTCAGCTGCTCAAAAACGAGTCTTGAAGCCAGAGATCTCCAACTTCTCGATGGATCTCTGGTTGGAAAAAGCAGCTCTGGTGATCCGACTTGTTGGACTTCCCTCTTTACTCAACCAAACCTTCCTGCAGAAAACACAGAATCATAAAACACATCAGTTACAGATCTTTTCCATGAGGGTCCAGGACTGAGCTTCATCAGATCTGACCAGAACAACAGACGTCACTGCTGTGAACAGGATTTTAAATAATATCAGTTTAAATAATAAAGTAGCAAATACAGTATGATTTATGGCGATATTTGTCTATTAAATTAGTTGTAACATTGGACTTTATATGATAAACATATACTTTAACTGTAAAATAAAAACTGTAAAAATACTGTAGGCTGTTTAGTTTTATCATTTTTAAACTAAAAGTTTAAAAATATATTACACAGACGGGGCCATTTTATTTACATGCAAAGCATTCTGGGTAAATGATGACATCAACTAGGTCATCGGTGCGAGGCTGCTAGCGAGCTATATCCACCCTGAAGGTTAATCTTGGACAATATCTGATGCAATCAGCTTTTAAATGAAACCAGAGAGCATTGACAAAGAGGAGAAGGTAGAAATGACTCAGCC